AGGTCGTCTCCATCGCCGTGGCTTTCTCCCACCGTCGTCTCCGTCGCCGTCGTTGACCATCTCCTCCAGCCTCCATTTTCATCCTCCATTCGCATCCTCCAGGTAATTTCTACTTAACAATACGATTAATGCTCCKATTTGTACTTCGATTTCTGCATATTATACTTCAATTTCTGCATATTTTGTGACGATTTGTACTTCATATGCTGTTCTGATTAATGCTGTTCCGATTAAAGTTCCGATTTGTAGTTCATATGCTGTTAAAAAAAATCCAAATCCTGCAAACCAAACACAGGAATGGATTTTAAATCCAATCCAATCCAAATCCCATGGAATCCAAATCCTCCATGGGAATCCAAATCCCTCAAAAACATTCCCGCAAACCAAACGCACCCTTATTGTACATAATCTAAACCAAGCTATTCATTTTGTTCGTGCTTAGGTGATTTTTTCTTTTTGTGTGCACTTGATTGAATGTACTCCAATTACGTTCACATGTCGCTGCCGAACAAGTAAGGCCAAGAATCCTCAATGCAAATGCTTTTAGCTATGACGTCTTATGTCCAAAGTTATGCCACCGTATAACTATATATATCAATGACTAAAAAATAAGTAAAGTAGTGTATCATTTTCTTATATGATGAAAAACATAGATAAAAGTAAGAACATTTACGAGGTGGAGGTGATTGGTAACTTTCCAAAGCATTTCATAATGGCTTTCAAATTCTTTTATTTTTTTCTAACTTTTTGGCAGGCTTTTGAAACTCTCAGGTTAAAACTATTTCCCATATACTTTTTCGCAAGCCAATTATTTTCATGGAAACAACTGATCTACTCTTTGGGGTAGGATAGGTCTACATGCATCTCCCATGACCATACATTTGAGTGAGATAAACTGGGTTTGTATGGTCCGGTTTGGTTTGGTTATGAGGTGTGCAAGGCTATGGGATAAGGATGGCATCCACTCATGCTTTTGTATCTAGAGCCATTTCTTGACTATCTGTATATTTGCTTTCACATTCTCTATTTCTCTCATATATTTTGAAAACAAGAATGACTTTTCCTTAGTACATGAAAAGATCTATGGTGTAGATGGTCAAGCTATCTTGAGTGGCATTTCACTGCTGGCTTTGATCGGAGTTGCTCGACCTTCTCCTGAGATTGTAATAATTGATTATATCCTTCTTACAAGCCTTTTCTTAATCCATCTTTACCACATCTCTCTCGTCTCTACCCACACAACCTAACTTGCACTATGTCTTGATTCATTTGGTGCTTGGTTCAGTTCAAGGGAATGGAAATAGGGAATGAAGGAGAACGAAATCTCATTGCCTTCAATTATTTACTATGGTATGGAAGATTACCCACATTTAAGTAATCACTCATTGCATTATATTTAACCGAGCATTATTATTCATTCTTCTTCTCATTTCCATTCTACCTCCTAATATCCCCAACCAAGCACCCTGTTAGTCTACTTAGGGTCTGTTCGGTTCATTTTTCATCAAGACCTCCATGGATAAAGCTGTCTGTATTAATAAAGTTGTCTGTTTGATATAAGATAAATTGTTGTTAGGTGGTTGTGCTGAATAAACAGTCAAGTGCTGATGCAGACCCAAATTGGAAGTCTCGACCTAGGATTTCGAAAGTGTTTATGGAAACCCGCATTGAAATTCTTGAAACCAATGACCCAGATCGAAATCCTAGAACCAGATGCTACAGAGGTGGAGGGGATTTGAAAATCCACCAGAGTTGGGGAGGAGTCATGTTGAAAACCCACCAGATTGTGCAGAAGCAGATGGTTGAACGGCAGCAGGGAGAGGAGGAAAGTCAGGAGACTTACCGGAGGAGGAAGGAGAATGACCGGAGGCGGAAGGAGGAGAGCCATGAGACTAACCAGAGGAGGAAGAAGGAGAGCCTGAAGACTTTGGAGGCTGGGAGCGTGTTTTAGAGGCGGGCATATGGGTAAATTTTTTGGCCGAGTCTAAACAGCACATCTCTTCTAGCTGACAGAATAAGCCTCTAGCTGACCGGTGCTATATAGGTATACAACACATTAAGCCACAACAGAGATGCCCCTCAATAATGCTTTTCAACAGCTGTAGTTTTACATCCATACATGTCCTGCTCTCGTCTATTGCTACTACGTTATTAACAATAACCATATACCATGGTATAATATCTTGTTTCCTTGTTAAGCTTATCCAAAAAATCGTAGTATAGAGACAAGGGTTTAATGTGGGCTTTGGTGCAATCCTACTCCACTAAGTATCTTTAATCACATTGCCATACTTTGCATTTGCAGGGACTCTTCTTCTCAAGGGTCCACCAATCCTATTGACACCCTATTATAGGTCTATGTTAGATCGATGAACACATGCAAATTTCTTTTACATCTTTGTGTCTTAATGTGACTGTAATCGAGAATATAGATAAATTTCCCGGCATAAATCAAACTGATATACTGGCACACTTTTTAGCATCTTTCAGTGATGGTCGATAACACATTCCTATAGCTTCATGTTATGGCTGATGAGCTTGATGCCTCTATGATCAGTATTGATTGTGGATGAATATTCTATTCTTGAAAATCAGGACCAGTGTATCTGTACTCAAACATCAGTCATTCTATGTGTCCTAATGTGGTTAATACTAAGCCGTGCTTTTGCTAACTCTCTAAGTAATCTCCAAACATCAATAGGATTTCTATCAGGTCTAAATTGTTGTCTACTCTCGTCTTGTTTAGATGGCCTTTTATCTTAATTACACTGATCCCTCTGTAGAGGGACCTATTAGTTCGATTGAAAGAACCATCAAGTCCATCAATGATCCCCTTAATGATCCCCTTGTTGTAGGCCATTGAACAATGCATTCAAGCAATCCCCTTATCCGTATGCAACCTTTTTAACTAATGGTCTTTGATTCAAATCCTTGATGCATTTGATGTGATTCAAGCCCCCAATTATCTATTCTTTATAGCATCCGACCTGTTTGCTTTCTTCTTTCTATTTCACTGGTTTTAATTTCATTTACATTCATATATGCTATCCGGTTAGTTTCTCTCATCCGTTCTTGACTTCTCTTCTGGGATCAACGTTCTTTTTTTCTGTTAATAGCATTTTTTTGGTTGTTAGGTTAATATCTACCTCCTTTATCTTACCCAAGCACTTTCTTAAATGAATGCGAATTTATCCTTTCCACACCTCTATATAGTACTCCCCTTTTACTCATTCTATGCTCAAAACATAGCCAGATAGTCTTTCGACCAGTTGGTTCTTGAGTTTTTCTTCCCCTACTCTTCCCAAAACCATGCTTAAAGTGGATGTCTAACACCACTAAGTTATGTTGTTAGTTGTCACTACATTGATTAGGGATGGTTCTAAAAACCGGACAAGGCATATGCTTCGGTGGTCCAGAACTATTTCTGAGGTGACGCCTCTGCTGCTGGGATTAAGGAGCATGGCTCACATGGATGGGGTGCACTGTGAGGCGTATTTGATGGATTTTGCAATTTTTGAGCCAGGAATTTGGGTTTTTCTAGCAAAGATGAGTGGGAGTATGTGTGTTATTGGGCTTGCACCAGGTTTTTAGCAAAGAACTTTGAACATATAAGCAAAGAAATTGAACACAAATAGTCTCCAGAAGTCACAGAATTGCCTCTCTGACCTGGAAGTAAGGAAATGATTGGAGACGCCGATAAAAAAGAAGGAGAAGAAGAAAGGGTTAATACAGGAAAAATGAGCCTTCAAATGTGAAGAGATGGCTTAATGCTGCTACCTTGCTAAGATAGCCAATTACTAATTCAGATAAATATTTATTAAAACAAACACCAAATGACCAGAGCATTTAGCTCATTGAAAGAGAAACAAACACCACCTTTGCTGACCATGAAAGACAAATATGAACACATGCAAAGACAGATTTAATGAACTTAGTTCATGTTTTTAAGGCTTATAACCAGTTATTTTAAGACTTCCATAGTTTGATATGGTCATATGGAATTATGTTGTCTGTTATGATTTTTCTGATTTTTTATGATTTTTTTTTGTTTTTATTATTGAGGCTTACGCCTCATGGTACAAAGGAAAAGACACACTGCCTAACTTTTTCTGTCTTTCAAAATCTTGTGCTTAGGTATGATTTCAAAATCTAGTAGTTGACATGATGAGAAGTGTGTTCATATTGTTTGACCATGTGACCTCAATAATTTATTTTATATTCTCCTGTTTTTGTCTATACTTTAATATCATTTGATTCCCCTTATATCTACAATTTGTGGCAAGTTTCTGTGGCTCTATGTTTATACGAAATTATTGCGTTGCTATTTGAATAATTGTGTTGAACAACATGACAGTTATATCCTCCAAAAGATTGGCTGGTTGGGTCATCTTTACCTTCAATCTTTTCCCCAGGCGTTATCCAGTCTTTTCTAAATGAGCTCACACCAAATAATGTCAGGTAACCTATCAATGAATTGGCATTATATGATATACATGCAGCTGTAAGATGATGCATTTTTTCCCTTATGAATTTACTCTTTTTCACCTGTAACTTGGTATCTAATTTAAAATAATAATAAAACATATCCTAAAATTTCACTGCAAAATTTATAATCTCAAATGATTGAAAGATGGCCTTGATCACTTGTGACACATAAAGACTTCCAATCACCATGTATGGCAAATAAATGCATGTGGGGCGGATCCCTGGTGCCTCTTCAGAAGGTGATGTCAGGTCCGTTTCTGACATTTTATAGGCCCCGTGCGAGATTTGAAAAGGGGCCCTCGATAAGTACCGGAAAAAAAATTCAATCTATTGTTTTTATCATAAAAAATAACCTAATGATTCGTATAAAACCGTTTTTTCCATGTATTCCTAGACGCAAAATTATTTAGTAATTACTTCTAAACTAATATTATCTATCATATCATTTTTACATAGCATCGTAAATGCGTTCCACAACCAAACATATTCTATGTTATACCTTTAGTATATAGATTAACATCATTTAAGGTCACAATCTTGACTATTCAGAGTAGCACTTTATATAAATCAGTTGTGTTTCCAAGTCACATCATGTTAATGTTTTCATAACAAGTTTAAACTTTTTTAGGGTTAAAGCATACTTTTTAGAAACCGTCAATCTTAGAAACAGAAGTCCATTTTAGTTATAGTTTGAAATCTTATTCATATTTTAGAGATATGAGAGTACTTAAAATTTAAAATTCATGCACTCAATATTAGGTAATAAGTAGTCAATAATGTATGTAAAACAAGGAATGTTTTGAAATCCTTAATACAAATATAAGTTGAATTGTCACATATGGTTGATAATTTTTTTTCCCAAAAGGTAGGACTTTTCTTAGTTATTAACAAGAAATCTACTATATTCTAAAACAAAAATAGAATTCATGTGGAGGGAATAATCAAAAGAGTTGGTGGGAGATGACTGATGGAGAATATATCAAAGTTTTCTAGGCAAAGTAGTTTTAGACTTTTAGTAGTAGATATTTTTTAGAGAAAACATTAAGGAATACTATAAAATGAACAACCAATTATTTTTTCACATGTTTTCATCTCCAATATAATTAATTAAACATGCTTGGGCCCTTGATATAATGCTAAATTCTTTTTGGATCATATTAGAAACTAAAAAAACTTGTGTCCCTTTTATTTGTTAATATTTTTGAACTACTACTATATACCATATAGTATCTATGGAAAACAATTGGGCCCCTATTTCTTGTGGGGATCTGGGCGTACGCCCAACACGCCCACCCCTAGGAACGGCCCTGGGTGATGTTCAACCTCTAGTGAAACAGCAGTCAAATTCGTATTTGCTTAGAATTTAAACAATATACACTAGTATGTGACACTCTGATCGATTGTTGGGTATTCAATCTTAGATGTTCTTTTTATGCCTTACTCTTTCTATCTACATCTGTCTCTCCTATTCCAAATCACAACCGAAAGAACTTTGAAGACTCTTTATGACTTTGCTTTGTGATATTTGTGTAAGCAAATCTCTTAGACTATATCAAATTAAGATCAATGCAAGCATACATCTCAATTCATTGTCGTCTTATACAAGTAATAAAAATGGTAAGAACCAAGTATGGATTTTCATAAGGACATGAAACCTTGAATCTTTGAAAAGTCAAACTTTACAAAGCAACTTCAAATGGTGAATTTGAAGAAATGTTGTTAGGTGATTAAAATCTACCAATGTAGACAAGATGTAAAGAACAGGCAAGGGTGTAAAGCTTGTTGAGACTTAAACAAACAACATAGTATTATAGACAATGCTACAGTATAACATCCGGGTATGGCAACAATAATTGGTATTATCTATCCATCACTTAAAGGGCATTTTTTTCGAGATTGAGAGAGAGACATTATCTACAAACCATGGCTCAAGTCTTGTGGACCTGTGGTTTGGGCTTAGGCACAAACTTTCCCTTTTAAGTACATGACAGATGCAACTTCCATTACTTCTTAGTATCCCTTCCAAAATTACCTCCATGACATTCAAGTTGGGGTGTGCAGAATGGCTTATTCCTAAGTCTATCACACTTTTAACACTTTTAGCAAGTGGTCAACTTGTCAAGAATTATCGAGTAACCTTTAAAATCTTGAATGAAAGGTTGGGAAGAGTTATTATTGAGAAGCAACTTCTACTTTCATGTAGTTCTTAGTCTCAACATCCCTTACACCCAAGCTAAAGGGTTTAGCCCATCATTGCTTGGATTCCTTGCATGGTTGAATTAAAGACAAGAAACAGCAACACTGAAAGTAAGTGCTTGCAAGAATTAGATACTAGGAATGTAAATAACAAGTAAATCAAGAGAAGTGAAGACAAGAATGTGAGAACACTAGAGAATTAAAGACTAAAAGCTTTCAACGCATTCAAACTAATAAAGACTTGTTTCTCCACCCTTAAACAAGATCTAGAACTGAAGGAAAAGTCCCTGAAATGCCTGGCTAAAGCCTCTTTACCCAAAAGAGGTGACTTACAAGAGAAGCTAATAGAGATAGGAATGCCCATTGGGTAATAACCAAGGGATAATATGAAAAAGAAGTCATTTAATCCGTCCATGGACATCCTAACAAAAGATTAATAGAAATTAAATCTTCTAAAAGTCCAGTCCATCCAGCTCATATCTTGCTTGGCCATTTGATTAACAAAAATTCTTCCATGTCCTCATCATTGTAAATCATCATCAGGTCCTGCTATAGCGTCCTGCTGCAACCGACATTGCTGTTTTGCATCATCTTTTCAAAGTTAATGCTAAAATAGATATAAACTACCCAAATCTACTACCTAGCTCCAGAAAACAAAGAAAGATATAAAATAAGAGAATAAAAGACTCAATTCGATGGTTTTGGGAAATAAAAACAAGAGAAAAATTGGAGAAACAGTGCTGCAGCATAGGCTGCTGTGACACTTATCAATATCGAACAAATGCACGTGGGTTGGGTCTCTGGTGCGTCTTCAGAGAATGACGTTTCACCTTTATTGTGAAACGGCGATCAAATTCATATTTGCTTTGAATTTAAACAATATCCACCAGTGTAGACATTTACATTTTTAGCCTGTATTGTCTTTCATCTTGTAAGCTGACATTCTCAATTATCGTTGGTATTCAATCTAAAAAGTTATTTTATGCCTTACTCTCTCTTTCATTTTTATGACACTCTCATTTACATCTCTCTCTTCTATTTCAAATCACAACTGAAAGAAATTCCACGATTTTTATTACTTTGGAAATAGTTGCCGTTTGTGCTTTTCCCCCTTCTGCGCTCTCCTAAGAGATATAATACAAAATGAGAAAAAAGAAGCATGAATAACAACAGTTTTTAGAGCGTGCCAACAGCATCAGTGACTGGAGATTCACTCTGGTGAACTGACTTTCAAACATCCAAATGATTTTAATAGGAGAAACGTGGATGGCATCTTCATAGATACAACATCTACACTATTTGTCAACTTTTCTATGGGATAATAGACTATGAAGCCACCATCCTTTTACAAAAAACACAATAAGGGCTACCATCTTACTCGAAGTTACAAAAGTGCTGGCAACCTCATCTTATTATTACAATTTGGCTCATTCCAGCCAGAAAATCACCAGAGCTCTTGAATAAATTATAAAATCGTAACCATTAGGCCTTGGCCTAGTGGCCACCTCTCTTCCGCAAACGCCTTGCCCTGGGTTGATTGCCCACCCRGGTTCAATTCCAGGGGAGGACAGGATGTCTTTTCCGGTGCTTGCCTATAGAGGTAGGGCAGGTAGGGTTCACAAATGTGGACCACGGGGCCATGAGGTCCCCGCCATTAAACCTTTAAATTATAAAATCATCCCTTAACTATTAGATCTTATTATTCGCCATTTGGAACTATTGTTTTAGAAAGGTTCTTTTGGATATAATGTCCTTTAAACATGTTCTCTTTAAATGCCAGTAATTTGCTTCATTTTTACAATACGTGGTATGCTTTTAATATTTTCTTCTACATTTACCCTCTTTTGGTAAAAAAATATATACATAATTCTTTCTTATATGGTTCACCTTCATGTTCATGTTCTTCATCTATTGCAACTATCACCAGCCACCATCTACCATAACTATCAACAGATATGAATGAATTGATATATGGTATTGGTCCTGTTGACTCCTGTGATGAATATGAACGAACTGATATGTTAAACTAAATTAATATTTGAGAGATAACTGGCAAACAAAAGCAGATTTTAAGCTTCAAATGCTTACTATGAATCTTTTTTCTAGCATGGTTATCCATTTGTTTTATCAATATAGCTAAAATGAAGTGAAAGAATTTAATAGCAAGATAAGTTTTAACTAGAGTGATCTGAAGTCTGAACTAACAGATCTGTTCAATGTTACTATTTTGAACTTACAAATATGTTAACAAATATATTTTGCGCCAGACATGGTGGCTGAATCCTATTATGTTGCATAATGACTCACACTTGCCCTTCTACATTATTCAATTTGATGAGCTGACTGTCTGTTCACTTTAGAACTTCCAAGGGGACTTAAAAATAATAGGTAAGGTTCTTTCTTGTCGGTCTTCAATTTGCATGTGTTATCTACTGCAATTTTGTTAGAAGTTAATGTTGTTGGTTAAATTTATATGCTTTCTTAACTATGTCATTCCTCCCCAGAATTTTTTGGGAGTCAACAAACTTTGAGGGGCATACTGACCTGACAGAGCCATGGTATGGGACTGCTTATTCAGTTGAAAAAATCACTGATTCCATCATTCAGGTTTGACCTGTATATGTTTTTGGCATCATTCGTCATTTATAACATGAGCTTGACCTTGTTTAGGAGAACTACTGAAAGCTTAATATTATATGGGTTATTTACAGGAATGGATGGAAAGAGCTCCTGATGAACACCTACATTTGCCCACTGCTAATGTGTTTATACCTACTGATCTGTCGATTAAGAATGTCCGAAAGAAGGTGTGACTGTGTTTTAATTTAAGTCAAACTGTAACTTCTAATTTTGACTCTCTAGTGGTATTTGATCTTTGAAACAGGTGAATCTTCCAGTTCTGTTGAGGAAGTCAGCATATTCGAAGTTGTGGTACAAGCCTGATACAACATTTTCCACCCCCAAAGCATATGTTAAGTTAGATTTCTACTGCCCATTTGGTGGCAACTCCCCTGAAGCAAACGTTCTTACTGATGTTTCAACACGGTTGTTGATGGATTACTTGAATGAATATGGTTAGTTATAAAACTCCCCTAATTCAAGATTTTTCATTTTATTTTTCTGATTTTCAAGACTGCTCAGTTGATATTACTTGATGGATCAGATTTACTACATCTATTTTATTCACTCCTTCCAATAACAAATATCCACGATGAAAAAGGCGACAATTTTAGAAACGTGTAATTATTACACTTTTTAATTAACTCACAATTTTACACTTATTAACATTGGGAGTAATGAAATTTTCAATCTCATAATCAAGGGTAGAATTGAAAAGTAGGCACTTACATCTGAAAATGGACACTTAGTTTGGACAAACTAAAATAGAAACCTGGACACTTATTTTGGGACAGAGGGAGTATGATTTTGGTTTGATATCATCTTTAATGCACATATAATGGATATTCTTTTCGTAATACTTCTTATTTGTATATCTATTGTGGTATTGCATATTCCTTTCTTAATACCTCTTATTCGTACATTTCAGCTTACGATGCTCAGGTTGCTGGTCTTTATTATGCCATTTCTCACACAGATAATGGTTTTCAGGTAAATAATTTATCAGTGTTGTGTTAGTATGAGCAGGGACAGGGATATGACAATGATACAAGGGAATCACAAAATTATATCCTGCTTATCTCTACTTATACTTTCAGGATTGTCTATTTGATTATGAGATCGAAATCCTAAAACTCCAGACCCTTCATGCAATCAAAAGCCCCCTAGGGGCCATAAGTTGTCCTAATTAGTTATTCATCAGTTCCAAGGAGAAATTCTTGACTTTGTATGTCTCAATAACTACTTTCCATATTAGAAACTGATATGGAATTTTGTTAAACTTAGTATTAGCAATCTTTTTGTAAGTGGAGTATATATTTTACTCTAAACCGTTGCAAAGTGTAGTTTATGTAATAAAGCCAAAATCATTTAGAAAGATATAATCATTTGGCATCTGAATATTCTTCAAATTTCTAAATTCCTTGACAAGTTCAAAGTTCAAATCTTACCCATTTGACCTTGAAACTAAAACTGAGTCTATTTGGGAACGTACAGGGCATTTAGAAAACAACATATACATTAATAAATGTGTTGCTTCCTGTTTAAATTGGTTTTTCTAATTTTAATTCATATTAACATCTTAACTCTTGATGCTTATATAGACTTTTGAACTTGCTGTTGTTTTTATAACTTTCAGGTGACTTTGACTGGATATAGTCAGAAATTGAAGATCTTACTCGAGACAGTAATTGAGAAAATTACAACTTTTGAAGTAAAACCTGACAGGTTCTATGTGATCAAGGTAACAATGACTTTAGTTATTTATATTGGTGACACCGCGACAGTCCACTGTTCTTGTATCTCATGATACTTATATACGGCCAGACAATAGGGGTTACTTCTATTTTATGTTACATCCTAGTGTGTACCGGAGCATGTTATAGAATTTGTTGATTTGAATCTAGGGAAAGGATATGGTACTTCAGTAGTTAGAAGCAAATGGAAGACAGTTACTGGTTGATATAACTGTTTTCATGGTATTGCTACAGTATCATATAGTTTTATATTGTTATGCTTGTCATGGGATGAAGCTATCTCATATTTATTAGACCTCAAACTTTTTTGTACCTTTTCCAAACAATTTTATATTTTCTCACAAGAGATTTTTCATTCTTAGAATAAGACACTAGATCCTGGAATTCCTATATTTATCTACATTTTTCTTTGGTGATTAATATCCAACTATTTTGGAGGTTTACTTGAATTAAATACTACAAGCTGAATAATTTTGCAAGAGCCTGTTTATGAGTTCCTTCTATGTACCTGGATAAATATAGGACTATGTGGAGGCATAAAATTTTCCCTAGTTCCTTGAGGGATATGTTCATTGCATCTGATTTACGAGTGTTCTGCAGCAGTTTATAATATAATATCTTAGATAGTGTTAAGCTTTTGGCCTTTTGTCATGGAAGAAAATTTCTTTTTGGTAGCTGCAGCTGTGTGCCAAGAACTCCTATTAGTACATGAAGCCTAGGATTGGATTGTTACAGTGATGCTTTATGTTGACCCGATAATTCTATCTACTTAGCCCAACACCCCTCTTTTTTTCATGTTGCCTATCATCATTTAATAGAAGTGTCATTGCAGCACATTCTTACACAACTCACATTTTATTCGTAGCTGTCCAGATTCAATCTAAACAGATATTTTACTTTTTTGTTTTGGTCTGCTGGATCATCTTCCTACATTGTTCTAGCTACAGACCTAAGTTGATCTTGTCAACTGGAGCATGCCAAGCGTACCTTTACAACATCTGAAGTTGTCTTATAAAGCAGCTTCTCAATGATACGGCTTGTCGTTGAACTACTGTTACTCATATGTTTTCTTTTAATTAGTATTGTTGGTCCCTTCATACCAACAAGTGCTCTTTTTTGTTTCACTATTTTCTTTTACTTTTAAGTTTTGCTTCTGGTGGGAACATTTGCTAAATCAAGTATGTGTTTGTCCCATTTAACTTGGGAATTACTTAAATACGAGTAGTCATACTCATAGCGACACCATACTACCAGCAGACCTGAAACCTTTAGTCTATGAAAGAGAGCATCATCCTAGGTTTCCAATATAGAGAAGAGAAGAAGACTAAAAGAACAGAGAAGTGGAACAATTTTTCAAAATCAGTTCCTCATGCTTTTGGTTTCAGTTTTGTCTAATGATAATCATATGCTGACACCAGGATATCAGTTAAACGAACTTTTAGGTCATGCATTCTTTTGAGAATAAGTAGTTAGTCTTCAAAAAATCCAATTCTCTATCCCTTCGATGGTAACTAGAGTAAGAGTTCCTGTCCTTTGAAGAGGTTTTCAGCTTTGTACTTCTCGTCACTCATATGTGTAATTTTTTCTTTCTCTTTTTGTAGGAATTGCTCGTAAAGCAATATGAAAATTTCAAGTTTCAACAACCATATCAGCAGGCTATGTATTATTGTTCACTACTTCTAAGAGATCAGTCATGGCCTTGGAGTGACGAGCTTGAAGTTCTTGCTGTTCTTGAACCTGACGTACTTTCAAGATTTTATCCTCAAATTCTGTCAAGGACCTTCATAGAGTGCTATGCAGCAGGTGTTTTTATCCTATACTTTTTCTACTGTAGTTATGAATTTTGTTTCTTCATTTTATATCATTGCCATTCTTCTTTATTTCAATGCCAGGGAATATTGAATCAAATGAAGCCGAATTAATGATCCAACATGTTGAAAATGCATTTTTTAAGGGTGTCAAGCCTTTATCTCAAGCTCTATTCCCATCACAGCATCTGGCAAATAGGATTGTTAAGCTCGAAAGGGGCACCAACTATTGCTATACCAAAGGGGGTCTGAATCCAAGTGATGAAAATTCTGCTCTTCTTCACTATGTTCAGGTTAGTACCAATGGAACACGGATAAAAGTAAGAATTGAGCAACTGAAAGAGTGAAGCAAGGATTTCTCTGTAATTTGCCGGCTTTTTCACTTGATCTACAAATTGACTACAAGTTTGGAGAGGGAATAAAAAAGAAATTGGTAATTACGATTGAAAGACAATCGGTTTCAAGATACTCTCTTGAGTAGGGTAACTTATTTAAGACATAACAGTAGTCTTGCCAATCGCTAAAAAGCCAAATTAAATCCCACTACTGGGTGAAGTTGTACTAAGACCGTCGTCTACCCCAAGAGTGTTTACTGACTGTTACTTGATCTAATCACTTCAGTCTCAATAGTTTTTAAACTAAAAGGAAGCTGTAGGTATATTAATATGGTATATTTCACTTCCAAACTGGCATAAGATTGACATGATTCATACATCTGATTCTTCTATGAACTTTTTGGTACTCAATAAATGGACTACTATTCACTGGTGTACATGTATATATATACAGGTACATCAGGATGATTTTAAGTTGAATATTAAACTTCAGCTTGTTGCTCTTATCGCTAAACAACCAGCATTCCACCAACTTAGATCAGTGGAGCAACTTGGTTACATCACCGTACTTATGCAGAGGTATATGAAGCTAACATTTCTCCAATGGAAAGTGCTATATTTTATATTTGATCCCAACTAATTTTGTATTTAACCAACTGCCATACCTATTAATTATATAATGTAGGAATGACTCTGGCATCCGTGGAGTGCAGTTCATCATACAATCTACAGTAAAGGTGGGTACTTTATCCTGTTCTATTTGCAATGTTTATGGTGTATGACTTAACTGATTCTGTTTCTTGGATTTGACAGGGACCTAAACATATCGAGTCAAGGGTTCAGGCATTTCTTAAGATGTTTGAGAGTAAACTTTATGAAATGCCAGATGATGAGTTCAAGGTCAGAAGACTTTTTTTTTTTTGCGTGTATGAAATCCCCACAAGGCATTACATTTTTCTAGCAATAAACCAGTGAGAAGCCAAGTTGGATAGGATTTTTTAACTTAAAGCCCCAAAACTAGTTATCTTATGGCTTGCATTTGCTTTCTTCCATTTGCATTTGCTTTGTTTTAATATACAATCTAAGTATGATCCTGTTTTTGCCCCAGAAACTTCCAATTTGTGATAAAATCCTTTTTATAAGGATTTTGAAAATTGATATGCTGATTATTCAATTCATGACTTACCAAAGTTAAGAACTATTGAATGATCTCTTATCATAAATATTCTAGTTTTCAACTCAGTTGCTTGAGCTTTGCTTTACATCATAAGATCATCCATTGATTCTTTAGCTGTTTCTTTCATACAAGATGACATGGATAAGACATTGATTAACTTTACTACTGTGATACTTTGATATCTCGATATGTGAAGATGAATTCTATTACTGATCTATAAGTTTCTCATATGATGGTGCAGAGCAATGTTAATGCACTTATTGAGATGAAGCTTGAGAAGCACAAGAACTTAAGAGAAGAATCTGGATACTTTTGGCGAGAAATCCAGGATGGCACCCTCAAGTTTGATAGGAAAGAATACGAGGTATGAAACCTTTAAAACCCTAAAATTATTTGAAAGTGCTTATCGAGCCCTGTTTATCACCTTTTTAAGGGTTGAAGAAACAAGTCTACAAAAAATTCATCTTACATTTTTGCATGGTGGCGGCTTCCATCTCGAAGTCTTTACCTGAGTGTGAGTGTCTCACATGAGCAATAATATAAACCAAAGATGCAACCGTGAAACTGATGACATTAGTACAGAGGGCCTGACATGACAAAATAAAAACTTATAGTCCCACGTTTTGTTAGATTGGAAATGGACGAGTCAGAGTAGGACGAAAATGCCTTCTTTTTGTTCCATCACATTGGTGGAACAAGAATCAGAAAGGTGAGACAGGATTGGTAAATTACTAAATTACCCATGTCAAATTAAAACCCCAAAACCTTCCACAATACTTTCAACCGCCTACCTCAATCTCCCCCGTCCAGTCCTGTCCAGTCTCATCCAGTACCAAATGCACCCTGCCTAGCGATGGCTAATGTATGCTTGCGTCATTTGGAATAGAGTTGTAGGAACCCATATCCTCGATTACGCTAGTGATTAATGCTAAACACAAATTAATGGGCGGAAGCAAAGAGCAATAATACTAGCAGGTTAATGAAATACGACAAGGAAACAGTAATGAATAACAAATACTCTTTTGGGAAAATGTTGTTGTCAAATTTACTTCCAAAGCTTTAGAGATTATGCGTTTACACCAAGGACACACACTGCTGTGTGAAATAAAATCTCTCTAAAAGCTATTTCTCCCAAGTATTGAAATCTCTCACTTAATTCTTGCAAGGAGCGCGTCTTTAATTGGTAAGGAACACCTTGGAGGATTTACTTATATATACGTTTCTGGAAAAAGCAACCTTGGAAAAGGCATCTCTGTAAAGGTCAACACGTCATCCAATCTACTGTCTCCACGTGTAATGGTAGTAGTAACCGTTTCAGCACATGTGTTGCAAGGAGACGGGACCACTTGTATAAAAGAGACTGGCTAGGAACCAATATGTTGACGAACGAAGTTGAGACCCAGAGAGGCTCTGCATGTACTATGCAGAGGCTCTGTGTCCAGGACTCGAGCTCTGCATCCCGAGTACTTGGTAACATTGGCGTGCTACTTCGGTCTTGATCTGCTTTGTATCCGAGGTTTGGTTACTGGCCGCTTCTAGACAACAAGTCTTCATGGCTTAGACTTGAGACTTTTTACTTACACTTTCACATGCTAACAATCTCCCCCTAAGTGTAATAAAAAGAACTTGCATGAAAGTAGATCTAGTCTAGAAAGCAAGAGGCCAACATGTCCTATGTAAAAGTGATTCCTTAATTAAAACAAAAGATTTGCAAGGTAGAAGAGCTCTGTACGTGCTCTAACAGTTCATCTATTGATCGAATCAGCTCTGATTCTACATCTTTTGATGTGGGGTCTTCATCTCCCTTCTGTATGACTTTCTTCCTTATCCAGAGTAGAGTTGCAGATCAGTACTTGTATATTTCTAGGGCTCGGGAGAAGACTTTCTCTTTATGCTCGTTTCTGTATATGAATCCCAACTCTGGATAAACTAAAATGGTTCTTGAAGGGATGTGCTGAATGTCTTCAAGATGTTCATTTGGCGCTGTGATAGACAGTTGATCCACCCCAAGCTCGAGCGCTATTTGGAAATCCATCTTGCTTCTGTGCTCGAGAAGATCGCTCATTGTTTGCCTTATTGCAGAGTTGGCAACATCATACTTCATCCCTTTGTCCCTCCTCTGGTCTGTACAGAAGTTCAAAATTTTGAGATCCCATGGGTTCAAATTTATAAGGTCACAATCTGTGAATACACTTATCTGACTCAGATCCCTCTCCACCGTGTACTCTAAGAAAATGATCTGGTTATGGGCAAATGTCCCCTTGATGTCCAACACTTGTTTTGAGTCCGTCATTCGAGTAAACTTCGTGTTGGGGCAATGTATATTGCCTGAGAAACCTCTCCCTTATGTGCTCTTGAAGCTCTGGATGCAGATTGGACTTCTTGTAGACCATCTCTTTCCGTTCTTTATATAAGAATTGATAGATCTTCTCATTTGAGACAGGATCTATTGGCGCTTTACCTCTTGGAACGGGTCTTCTCATGGCATCCATTTGATCATGGATTTCTTACTCTGTCTGGAGGAGAAACAAAGAGCTGGATGGTCTGGTGCAAATGTAGAGGTAGAGGCAGAGGTGGAGGCTGGCCTTCGTTTTGTAATAAGAGGAATTTCATACTCAGACACTGAATTGTCTTGTACGTCTTCCACCACCTCTTCAAGCTGGGATTTGTCTTCTCCTCTTCTTTCCTTCATAGTCGGCTCTTGTAACGAGGATGTAGAGGATGTTGCACAAGCGATCATTTCTGCTCTCATGGACAAAAGTAGTAGCAAGCTCTGGATTTGGTCTTTGAGTTGGTACAAAGTTGATGGGAGCAACACGTATTGCGATTTTTGCACAAGTTCTCTCCCCCTTTTGATGATTTTGAGGACCAGGGGTGCCTCAGATGTGCCTCTGGGTCATCTGGGTCATCAGATCTTCTCTTTTTAGAGCCCTCTGCACAAGGAGAGTCTGCCTTTCTCTTCTTCTTCTTGAGCTCTGTAGGAGGCATCTTTTTCACCTAGTCATCAAACAACTCCACGTTGTCTTGTGCAGCAAGTGTGGCCTTGTTGATCTCTACATTAGCTCGAAACTTGAAAGTGGCCAGGGACTTGCACATTTTTCTGTTGCTGTTTTTGCTGTTGAGTTGAAGTCAGAGGTGAAGTCGGACACCTTCTGTAGCAGCTTGTCGCTGAGCATGCACATTTCTCTTGTAATGTAGTTGGCTGATGCAGAAATGGGAATCAAGGCTTGCTCGTTCAGCTTGACCATGTCGTATGTGAACTTTTGGAATTGGTCCACAGAGACCGGTGTGATTGTAGCCTTGGACTCCTCCTTTTGAATAAACTCGACTACCCTTTGCAGGGTAGCGTTGGCATTCCGTCAATTCCATGGATGATTCAAGAAGTTTAGCATTCGTCAAAGACTCAACTTTCAAGGCTGCAATGGATGCTCGAATATCATCCAAGATGGATGCAGAATTTGATTACTCTGCACAGGTCATTGTGAGTTTTAGCTCTTTCAAGGAGCTCTGAACATTAGGAGCTCTGAACATTGGTGGCAAAGGCCTGGAACTCTGCCTTTGTAACATAATCAGAATGGGTAACCTCTGGCTCAACACATAGGCCAGAGTTGGTCTTAGTTCCTAAGACACCTTCGTCCAAACTTGTGTTTTCGTTGGGTCTGGAAGGATTTCCGTCTGATCCTCGTATATCTTCATTTGAAGAGTATACTACAAACGTTATGTTGATGCGAGGTCTTCCATGTAATTCAGAGTCAGACGAAAGCTCATCATTAAGTGGACTAAGAGGCCTGTCGAGAGCATTAGAGTCGTGTGCACCAAATACTTGCTCTGAACAAATGTTGGGAATAACTTCTAATGCAGAGGAAACACATTCCTCTGTAGGGATTAGTGGCATGGTATGGGAAGACATACCACTTATACTTTCAAAGGCATCACCCCGTTTAGAGGATGATCTCTGTAATCTGGTTCCCTTTCGCTGTGTTGACCAGAGACCGGTTTGGCTTGGCTAGTGTTCGAGGTGTGCATCTCTTGTTTAATAGTCCGTGTTGCTCAACCAACTGGACTAGGTGATGCGCTTGCATTGGGGGTTGGCGAGGGGAAATATATATGTGTGCCTCTAGGGGCATCTTGTTGCACATCTTCCTCTCCGTCTAGCTCTTGCACTTGAGCCTCCTCACCACTTTCTGGATGTTGAGCCATCTTCATCTCCCTCTCTATTCTCTCTCTCCTTTATTGCCTTCTTCTCTTCCCTCTTTCTTTTCTTCTCTTCCCTCTCTTCCTTCTCTCTTTTCTCTCTTTTCTTTCTCTATCCTCTCTTTTTCCTTTCCCTCTCTACCTCTGTACTCACCCCCTCTGTCTCACCCTCTACAGGTTGAAATGATTCGACTACACGTTTGTATGCTCGTCGTAGACTCTTCGTCTTCATGTACTTGAGCTGGTTCTGAGACACGGGTCTCTCATCTGTGTATTCATCTTTGTCGGCGGTTGGGCAATAGGAAGACAACTTGTGTACATGTGCCATTGGTCCCTTGTCGCGAGGGATGTTTTGGTCATTGAGTCCAGGCCTAAGTAGGAGACTAAGGAAACATGGAAACAACAACGCAGGTAAGTCTTTGCCTTTGGACTTGTCAAGGACCTTGGCGTCAACGGCCTGAACTCAGTGTATATGATCAATGAGTAGTTCAATGGTAGGTCGAAGTAGATCCCGTATACGAGTTGGAGCATGTTGGTGTTGTATATGTCCATACTCCCAATCTTCCCCGTTAAGGCCCTATTGACGAGTGTGAAAAGGACGTTCCACATAGGCGGGAGAGATTGTCTTCGAAACTGGAATGGAAAGTTTATTGGTGGATTGTAACCAATAAACTTTGGGATTTGGTCTCTTGTAGGAAGGGAGGCGTATTTTGGGAGGTTGAGGTCGGTTTTCGTTGGGATTTGGAGTACCAACGAGAACAGGGATCTGGAAATCCTGATTTCACACATTTGGTTTACGGTTGGGACGAAGAACTCACTAATGATTCCACGTTTTTTCTCATCATACTCACACGTTTGCCAGAATTCTTGAATGAACCTCTCTGGAACGGTTTCATCGTGGTTGGTTAGGGCTCCGTTCAAGAAGTGGTAGTGAAGAACTTCTATGATAGCGTGGAATTTTTCATCGAAGTTTGTAAGAGTTAGGTATCCCAACATGGTTATTTGGTTTTAAGGGAAGGGGGATGACTGTAACACTGTTCCTTCATTTGATTTTAAGTTGCTTGTTTCATTGTGCGAGTTATCGCATTCTGAGGCGGTAGAAGTCGACATTTTTGAGAAAGATGTAAGAAGAAGATGAACTGTGGAAGCAGGTTCGTGAGGACGATGATGTTCTTGAGAGAAAAGTTCTTTGAGAATTAATATTTTGAAAGCGTGAAGGGAAATTAGGGCTTTTCGTCGTTTAAATAGGCAAGAATTTTGTGCACTCGAGTGCAAAAATAACCCAAACGACAAAGAGCTCCTTGGAGGATTTACCTATATATAGGCGTTTCTCGAAAAGGCAACCTTGGAAAAGGCATCTTTGTAAAGGTCAACGCGTCCTCCAATCTACTGTCTCCACGTGTAATGGTAGTAGCAACCGTTTCTGCACACGTGTTGCAAGGAGACAGGACCAAGTGTATAAGAGAGACTGGCTAGAAACCAATATGTAAGACAGACAAAGTTGAGACCCAGAGGCTCTGCATGTACTATGCAGAGGCTCTGTGTCCAGTACTCGAGCTCTGCATCCTGAGTACTTCGTAACATGGGAGTGCTACTTCGGTCTTGATCTGTTCTGTATTCGAGCTCTGGTTCTGGCCGCTTCTAGACAGCAAGTCTTCATGGCTTAGACTTGAGACTTTTTACTTTCACCTTTCACATACTTACAATAGTAATGGTACTCTATCTAAAAAACATGAAGCAGCTTTATGATAACGTGGATCAATGATCAATTTCTAGGTTTCATCATAAAAACCTAATTGGTTACTTCCAATTACGTAAATCAATAGTTCGATCGAACACTACTTGAAAACGGCTCTTCTGCTCAAAAACGAAATGTTCCTTAATATAGCATTTAGACCAGACTACAATGAATGTAAAGACAGTGATCCGAAAATAGTGATCTTTAACTGTTCCCATGAAACAGGTTGCTGCATTGAAGCAGCTGACCAAGGCGGAACTGATCCAATTCTTCGATGAACATATAAAAGTAGGCGCTCCACAAAAGAAGACGCTAAGCGTGCAAGTATATGCGACCACACATTCTACAGAGGACATGGCAGACAACGGTGACTGCAACATGGTTAATATCGAAGACGTTTTCGGTTTCAGGAGATCAAGACCTCTTTACGGATCCTTCAAAGGAGGTATCGGTCATATGAAGCTCTGAGGTATTCGTTCTCAATTAAAGAGATCTTCTCATGTAATATGTGCACAAAAACTTCACAAATTCAACTTAGTTTTCATTGTCTTTTATTTAAATTTCCTCATAAATATCTGCTAAATACTTCTGTTATCATTGTATTTGGCAACAGCAGAAAAGCTGAAACAAACAAACATTGTTGTTGGAAAAAACATGAATTTTTTTGAATTCTTGGTATGTATACCTATGCTTTCATTTATGGTTATTTCAGTAAGCGATTACCAATATGAGTCAACACTGTAATTTATTTTGATGTGTAAGATTTTAGTACATCAAAACATATCAAATGCAACAATTTACTGGGTAAGAGCTGTCATCCTCACTTACTGGGTAAGAGACTCCATTTTTCTCATTGCTTTTACCCGGCAAGATTCTTGGCCTTTCTCATGTTCATCCGATGAGGAAATTTATGCGTTAAGCACTTACCAAGTAAGTGTTTAGTAAATGACCCCCTAAACTACGATTTCATTCATGTGGTTTGTTGAAGTTTACAACTTTAAAGAGTTAAGGTTTTCTATGTGGTTTGCAATTTATTATTGTTTTCGGTTTGTGAGATTAATTTTGTTAATGAACCCTTAATTATGAGGGACAGAAAAAAGCAATAATTTGTAAACCCCGTGAAAGAAAAAGCAATGAATTGTAAACGTTAGGGGAAAACAAAAAACAAATTATAAACTACAAGGACGGGAGAAATGATAAATTACAGATCATAGAAGATAACGACCGTAATTTTCAAAGCGTAGGAATGAAAATAGCGTTTCTCAAAAAACTGTAGGACGAAAAAGGTAGTTTACTATTTTGATATAAGATATCATGCAAACTTTAGGGTGCATTTGGTATCCAAACATGATAGAACATAACAACTATTAAGATAAAATTAGATATGATATAACAGATAAAATGATCAATTTACCTCTAATGAGTCGTTTATAGATTAAATTATGAATTTGGTCCCTATGGTTTCCATCCACTATTAATCCCAAAATCAAAATAAATACAAGGATGATCCCTCTAGCTGAAAATCTTCCCTCGGCCACCATCGACGACTCTCATTCCAACCTCCAACTCCATCGGCCAATCTTCCTCATGCCATCACCGTCGGGTTTTGGCATCCTCTCCATCTCCGATAACCAGACAATGATCTACCATTCGAAACCCAAGTTTGAAATGGTTATTTTTGGGTTACAAACAACATGCGTTGCTTTTTTCTCCAAACGTAGTTTGGGTGTGAAGGCTTCTAAAAAATGGTAAGTGAAAATGGCGTTTTTGTTCTTGTAATTTATGCTTTGATTTAATCCATCCCCTCCAGATGCACCTCGTTGATAAAGAAAACCTGAACCCAAATCAAGAAAACTCAAATCTCGATCATAAAACTTTTGTCAAGTTCGTAGCTCTTTTTTTCCTTCTAGTTTTGATAACCTTGCAAGGTCTCTCGTATCTTGTTGCGTCTCTTTGAAAAGATGGTTATTTCTCTCTTACCATAAAAAGTACGTAGTTGCTCCCAATGTGAGACCATAGAAAGTAATCCAGGGTCCTTGCAGTATATTTTTCCGAGATAAATCTTACATAAAGTACATTCTAGCATCTCGACTAAGATGACAAACGTAGCATCAATCTTGGGTACATAGATGGTTCCCCATAGCTAACCATAAAGTCATCGCGTGTTTGGGGACACGAGGTGGAAAAATAGCACGAATTTACGATATTCAGAAGAAGACAATATGTGTGAGTGGCCAACGAGTGAATCTTCAGTGAATAACTGTGTGGGAGCCGAGATTTTATCACTTAGTGATCTAGTTCTCATTTATCGTATTCAAAAGATTGTTTGGGTTAGGTTTACTTTTCATATTTTCGCAACAATACATAATTCACTATTGAGTACTAATTTTCAGTAGAATTGAATTATATTTGAAAAGGCTGTGTTATAATTAATCAACCCCCTTCTACAAACTCATATTAGTCGTCATTAACCCCATTCAAGACAAACAATTTGGTTTGTTTAGCGTCTTCCGCTACGATGGTTGTAGAAAGTTATATATTTGTGATCTTTCAGTTTTATTATATAACTATTTAGTTGTACATAAAGTCCAACTAACATTCATTAAAGCCCAATACGATCCATTAAAGTCTAACTAACATTCGTTAAAGCCCACTAAAACTGTTAAAGCCGAATATGATCCATTAAAACTCAACTAACATCCATTAAAGCTCAATAGAACCGTTAAAGCCCAATACGATCCATTAAGAAAAGAAAAGTTTGAAAAATGAGGAGAGAAAAAAAACCGCCTGAAAATCTTTGATTTTTTTTTTTTATAAAATCTTGAATAAATATTACCGGCGGATTACCGGCGGCCCTCCGGTTTCCGCCGGAAAATGTTAAAAAATAAAATTTACTTTTTAATTATTTTCCGACGGATTTTCGGCGGATATTAATTTTAAAAGATTAATTAAATATCCGTCAGTTTTCCGCCGGTAAGTTATTGTAATTAGATTTAAATACAAGTCTAAAATAATTAATTAAGAAATCCGCCGGAAAATCTAACCAGAATAATTTTTCCGGCGGATTTCCGTCGGAAGTCAACAGATGATGACTTTTTTGTTGTCCGCCAGTAGTCCTCCGGTAATATTCCAGCGGAAATTGTCAAATCTCACCGGAAATACCCAGTATTCTAGTAGTGATATACACAACCCTACAGAATTGTGGTGTGACACAAATACCGTAGATCGTCAAATTTTCTACACCGAAACCGAACTACATTGCAATGTTACCTCTTTTAAAAGCTTTTCCAACCATCAACACCAACTTTTTGCATCAAAATGATGTATTTTTAACGTTGTAATGATGGTGTATTTTTTGGGACATGAACATGTTACATCACATGAGCAACAAATGGGTTTCTTTTTTATATTGCTTTTGACCTCTACATGTAACCCTTTTATGTTATTTGGTCTTTGACTTCATGCTTCTTTAGTTTTGAAGTCTTTTATGTGTGCATATCTCAAAAAAGGTCGTTAACGTACAAAATCATACATGTGATTTTGTACATGAACGACCATTTTCTTGTTTTCGTAAATAGTTAACGTTCTCGTTTGAATCTTCCTCTATATATGTGTGTGTGTGTGTGATGAGAAACATAAGAAGAGATATGAACACTTGATAACCTCACTCAATGAATTGTGTTTCTCATGGAAATTGATCTAGTGATCTCATTATTGTTGATCTTCAATTAGGTTTGATCTGAGGGTGGAGGTCTTTTCTTAACCTTTTCATCATAATTTATATTCTTACCGAGATCAGAGAGAATCCTGAAAAACTTATGTAATCCCTTAGAAATTGAGATGATCCAATGGATGAGATCAAAAGATGGTTATAACCACCTTTTTCACAAAAATACAAATATTTCTCCCTCGATTTTTGAATCGAAAATCAGCAGAAACAACAAAAATGGAGAAAAACAAATTACAACAGAAAAAATGATCACTTTGTTTTGATATATATTTTTATCATTTTTTTATTGATTTACTGGGGTTTTTTCAGGGTTCTCTTTAGATCTTTTTTCCCTCTCTCTCTCTTTCTCTCTCTCTCTATATATATATATATATATATATGTGTGTGTGTGTGTATGTATGTGTGTGTAGGGACCTTATTTTGAGAACTCTCTAAATGGTGAGATCTTTGAAAACTAATGCATTATGTGATATTTCATATGATTTCATTTGTGGCTAGAATTTAATGTAGTAATTAACATATATTTTTTTCACATTGTGTTTGTTTCACATGTATTTGGTTGACAATGTGAACTTTTTTGGCTTGTTTGCTAAACAAATAATACACATAAAAAAGTTTCACATTGTCAACCGAATACATGCGGGAAAAAAATCACATTGTGAAACAAATATATGTTAATCAATAAATTAAATATTTTACTTAGATGGAAGAAAATCATGTGAAATAAAACCTTAAAATAGAAGTTCTCAAAGATCTTGCAAATTTCAGAGTTCTCAAATGATTAAGCCCTATATATAATTGTGATAACCGTGAGAACTTTTATCTTTATGTATTGTTTCATATATTTTTTTTCTCACCTAAGGTATTAATGAACATATATTTGTTTCACAATGTGTTTGCTTCATATGTATGCAGTTCACAATGTGAAACATTTTACTTGTAACTTTTGTTTTTCAAACGGACTAAAAATGTTCACATTATGAAATAAATACATGTGAACCAAACGCATTATGAAAAAATATATCTTAATAATCACATATAGTTATGGTTATCAAAGAATTGAAGCACATGAGGGCATCCACAAATCCAACAATGTCCATTTGTACAACCAATGCAATTCAATCAATTGAGATATTTATGAAAATGATGAAAATTCATTTATTATGATTTAAATATTTATAGAAGATGACTAAGGTTCATTAACTATGATCAATACTTTATATTAGAAACAATCAAAAAATTTATGAAATCACATATTAATCAAATTAAATGGATAATTGAAATTGGGTTGTATTTGTTGTATAAATGTAAACTGTTGCATAATAACTCTCTCACTCTCTCTCACACACACACATATATATAGAGGCGCATTCAAGGGAGGTAACCGTGGGATCCAATCTTAACCATAAACCAATAGATAAATTAAGAAATTTATAATTTTGGTAATTTTTGAATTAAAATTTTAATGTAAATACATTTTATGTATTTTCTCTCTTCTTTCCTCTCTCCTCTCTTCTCTCTCCATCCCCCGGCCTCCGGTTGGTATCACATATTGTTATGGTATCACATATATTTAATGAAGATGTTTTCGTTTGAACCTCCACTTATATATATATGGGTTTACGTGAGACCAATAGTTTTTCGTGAGGCCCATAAGACCAATTTATGTTCATTGATCAACTTTATAACCTAATGATCTAATGGTCTAAAGTTGTACGGTGGCAATTTTGTAATTATTGGAAAGTCTCGTGGCAATTTTAATGTTCAGATTGTAGATCTAATTCAAGGGTTAAAAATTGGTCTTACGGGTCTCACAAAAAACATTTGGTTTCACATTATTCCAAATCTATATATATATATATATATATATATATATAGATGTGGGAGTGATAAAGTGAATAAGAAGAATCACGTATAGTTATGGTTATCAAGCAATTGA